ATTATTATTGTTATTATTATTATTATTATTATTATGTTGACAGCTTTCATTATTGAACAGGTTTATAGTTTTTTAACCACGGGTTAGGTGGCTCTTACATTCCTTGACTCCAGGTGTATTTGTCAGTGTTGGGAAGATTGGTCTTACTGTGTGCAGCTAGTTCATGGCATGAACTTAAATTACGTAAATATACCCCAATGTCTCATTAGTGGCCCTGGGCAACACAAAACAATAGCAAGAGTCTGCAGTGGATCGCATGCCATACTTTGAAGTTCCTGGATTTAAAGTATTTAAGATTTACTTCATTTCGAATTTAAAATCAGCTTTCATGTATAAATATTTTTACAGTTCATCTATTACAGACACAATCTAAAATGTAAAAAAACCAGAAGGCCTTGGCTGCCTGTAATCCTAAATGAGCGCAGAGAGCAGAATGCAGCTCATTCTAAAGTTTTAAAGCTGTTAACTGGCGCATGTTAAAGACGGCAATGCTGAAAGGTTTTCCTGTTCCTGTCCGCTGTCCTGTAGGTCAGGATTAGTGAGGTAAACACAGCGTCACGCGCTCTGTGGTCCACATCTTTCTCCTGCCAGCTCGCTGAATAGCTGAGCATCAGGTTGTACATGCAGGAAGTAGAAACTGGCAGTTTTGAAAAGGCTAAACGACCTCCCTGTGTTTTGGGACTTCTTAAAAAGAATTATATACATATATATATAAAATTCTGTTTTCTTGGTTAACTATTGTTTCTAGGCAAATTGGGATTGTTTTTTACTTCAGAACCTGAGGAACCTCTCAGAAGTTTTAAAAACTGGGAAAAATCGATTGTATTTCTTTTTTTTTTAGGCAGCTACATAGAAGAACTAAAGAGCAACAGGTAAAACTTACCTTCTACTTCCTCTTCATCACAAAGGTGCTTGAGTAAGGATGCCCCGCGGTCCAGCACCGCCTCATCCTCCATCCTGTAGTAGTAAAAAAGGAAGAAAGACTGTTCACACTTTTCCTCCAGCGACAGCGTGGAGCCATAGCGCTTGGGCTCGTTCACTTGCAGTAAGTTCGGACTGGGGTTCAGTCTGGTGCTGCTGGTGGCGCTCATCTCCACCCATCAAAGGCTCCAGAGTTACAGCGCCTTGAGATGTAATTTTCAGCAAGCAAACTATCCTAACTTAGAGAACACGCGTCGTCCTTCCGGAGGACAAAGTGTGCAGTCGGTAAGTGTGGTGTAATGGATTTAATCTAGAAGAGGGGGGTGAGGGGAGGACAGGAAGTCCTCTAATTGAGTACGATGTCCAGAGTGTCCGCGCTGGACATGCGCAAAAAAATGTCCGACTGACCGAGACTTAAACCCGGTAAAATCCGGATGTGACTTTGGCTTCACTTGACTTTGATTAGAAACAGAATCAAGGTGAAAAACCATCAAAGGGAGCGTCAATAAATGTTGTGTCTAATCAGTTACACGCCCCCACATTACAAAGCCTCTCCATCTGTTTGGTAATGCCTGCCAGCCCCCCCTCCATCACCCTCCACCCAAGAAACAAGTGGGCCATCACATGTCTGTATACTCATCCTCCCTTACAGGATTACACCAGCTTTACTTAAGTGACATCACACTCACACAAGCCCGTAAGAGGCTGGCGTGCCGGCGCCTCCGCCACTCTCCAAGAACCGCACAAACGTAACGTTACCTCCAACGGGCCGAACTGTTTCCCAACAAACATTGACAATAAAAAAGGATTCAAATGTCTCTACAGGCTGACTTGCCTTGAAGGTAACAACAGGTTTTGCCTTCTAGATTTTATACTGATCTTTACAGTATGTACTGCCAGTTATGCAAGACCAGCAACAGCAGAAATAAAAACTTTGCTGTCTTTAAGCTCAAATCTCTGTTTTTTTGTTTGGTTTTTTTACACACACACAAAAACATTCACAGTTATAAGTTCCAGATCTTCCTCATAATTCACAAGC